ATGAGGGCAATGAATGTACAAATGTGCTTTACACAATTGATGTATGTATGGATTGTGATAAGAGTTGTATGAGCCCCTAATAAAGCGATTAAAAACAAACAAACAAACAAAAGACACTGGTTAATTATAACTTAAAAAAAAAAAGAAAAGAAAAGAAACTACTGTCATTATTGTATAAAACAGAATTCCATGCAAGGAATTCAGCCACTGGGCTACAGTCTTCAATTTTATTGTCAATATTTCATTTTCAATTTATCACATGAAAACTATAACAGGAGCATACAAAATCTGAATTTCAACGTTTAAAATAATAAGTTTATTATACATGTTAATATAAAAAGATCTGTAACAAAGGAAAACCTGAGATGAAATATTTTTTAAATGTTTTAAGTTTTAAAATAATAATGTAAAACGGATGGTTAATTTTCAATGTCAAAATTAATAATGGCTTCATTCGATAAATCAACCAGCATTGCTAATGTAAATAAAAATATCGAATGTGTCTTAAACTGCTTTGCTGGTGTGAAAGCTTATTTATCATGAGATAGTAAAGAACAAAAGTTACCCGTCACAGAAACAATATTAAGCAATCTTCTCATGGTCTGAGGACTTATATCACTGAACCAGTCCTCAGTCACCAGCAGTTTTGTGAGATCAAAGGACATCTGCCGGGTGATGGTCCGCTGCATCTGTCTCCTCCGGTACGTGTCCTGGAACAGCCCATGACAAAGAAGGGTGAGCGCCTATGCTCAGTTGAAGAACGGAAGGGCTTTCTAAGAAGCTAGTAAAATGTGAATACCATAAAAAGACTGAATTTTTAATCAAAGAACATTATTCCTCTCAGTGCTCACAGGAAAGCAGGTATAAAGTTCATTAGTAGCAAATGCATCACATACTATCAGCTTCAAGTGTACTTTAATTTATAGAAAGCTCAATGGCTCTAAAATTGTAAGTCAACAATTGTGTAAAAAGAAACACATTGCAAACTCTCAAAGGGATTCATTACACATAAGATCTCTAAAAACAAATAACCAAGTCTCTTAAGGTTTTAAGGATTTAACATTCTAATTTTTAGATTATTTCAAAGTGTGTGGCAATTGTGCAAAAGGTATGACTACTCTTATCACCCTCTTCCCTTGGCTAGCGGGCCAGGTGTCCCCTGGACGAAAGGGCGAGGGCCAGGCCTAGCACAGGTGTGCTTCCTGGACAGTTATGCAAATGAAGGAAGGGATGGCAGCACAGGAAAGCCGGCTGCCAACAAAACTAAACCACACTCCCTGCTATCCCGTCCATTTCCACAAGACCTGACAGCACAGACTGTAAGTGTCCTTGCAGGTCTCCAAGGCTGCACACCTTGAGGGGAGCAGAGAAACCCCATCTTTCTCCTCAGAAAGGCAAGTGATTTCGAACAGCAGGCCGTGTGATTAACAGCCCGATGAGCAACACACTTTACTACCTACCGAGGTGCCTGCATATTGAAGTAGGATAAACCCAAACTAACCCTCAGCCGAGCGACCCTAGACAGGGTTTCTGAGGCTGTACATTTTTCCAGGTGCAGACAGGCTCATCTTTCTCCCATGGACATGGTGGGTTTGAACCAGCGACCTGGTGGCTAGCAGCCCAAGGTTCAGCTGACAGCACTAAGAACAAATATATAAAATCAACATGTGGGGATATGTTTCATTTTAAAAGGTAAAATTTGCCAAGTTAATGTGTGCTGCTGGATGGCAGAGAGCAGATTCCGGCACCCGGCGACCCGACAGAAGAAGAAAGAAGCGCTGCCCCGTCCTCAGCTTGTCGCAGTGACCGTGTCAGTCCTTGGCCAAGGTCTTTCATGGCAGCCAAACAGGAAAGAAAGTGGCGTCGTCAGAGCTGGCATGGTTTAGCTGCCACCAAGCGGCAGCCTGACTGTAACTACAAGTGCACACTTATGCTCCACCACTTGTCTGTCTGTCTGTCTGTCCTACTGCGGCGGCTTCTGTGTAGGTACAATGCGGGAAGCTATGTCACCAGCATTTCAAATATCAGCAAAACAAAACAAACTCGCTGCCATCAAATCAATGCAGTTTCATAGAACCCCCCTGTGGATTTCTGAAACCTTAACTGTTGATGGGAGTAGAAAGCCCAGTCTTTCTCCCACGGAGCTGCTGTGGTTTCAAACTGCTGACCATGAAAATCGCACCCCAACGCATAACCACTACACCAGCCCAAAATGAAGAGGTTTCAGCACAGCTCCTAGACTCAGCACAGTGTCCACTTCAGAGGCCGTTATGGAGCACATCCAAACCCTGTCGACAGCGGATGCTGAGTGAATGAAGCAGAGCATTATCAGAGACAGTGCCAGAAGATGAGCCCCTCAGGTCAGAAGGCACCACAATGGGTCAGAGGAAGAGCTGCCTTCTCAAAGCCCAGTCGACCGCAGTGTTAGGGAGTAAATAAAGGCTAGAGAAGTAACGTCTGGGGGCCTTCATCTGCTGATGGGGCATGAGAAATGATAACAAACAGCTGCAAAAAGCAGCTAATCATCAGAACTTAGAATGTGCAAAGCATGAATCTAGGAAAACTGGAAGTCATTGAAAATGAAATGGAATGCATAACGATGGAGATCCTAGGCATTCGTGAGCTGAAATGGATGGGAATTGGCCATCTGAATCAGAAAACCACACGTTCTACTCTGCTGGAAGGGAAAAGTCCAGAGAACAGCATTCTGATCATCACAAAGGGCATTTCAAGATCTATCCTGAAGTACAATGCTGCCTTTGATGGGATTGGATCCACCCGGCTTCAAGGAAATCCAATCAATACAACTATTATTCAAATATACGCACCAACCACCAAAACCTAGTGATGAAGAAATCGAAGATTCTATGAACATCTTCAGTCTGATGCACTGAAAAGTACTGGAAATTGGAATATAAATGTTGAAAACAAAGAGGAAGAAATCATAGTTGAAAGATATGGTCTTGGTGACAGAAACACAGCTGGAGATCTTGAAAGAATCCTGCAAGACCAACAACTTGTTCACAGCAAATACCTTTTCTCAACAACACAAACAGCAACTGAACACATGAACTTTCCCAAACAGAACCCACAAAGATCCGACTGACTGCATCTGTGGGGTGAGATGATGGAGAAGCTCAGTGTCGGCAGCGAAAACCAGGCCAGGGGCCGACTGTGGACAGACCACCACTGGTCACATGTAAGCTCGGGTTGAAGGTGAAGAAAACTAAAACAAGTCCATGCAAGCCCAAAATAGGACTTTTGAGTTTATCCACCTGAATTTCAAGAACATTTCATCACAGTGACTGATGCACTGACACTGCTAACAGAGGAGCTGTGGGAGCACATCAAGAACATCACTCACGAAGGAAGCAAGCGCTCATTAAAAAGGCAGGAAAGAAAGAAAAGATCAAAGTGGATGTCAGAAGAGACTCAAACTTGCTCTCAATCATAGAGTAGCTAAAGCAAATGGAAGAACTGATGATGTCAGGGAGCTGAATAGAAAATTTCAGAGAGCAGCTTGAAAAGACAAAGACAATTATTGAAGTGTGCAGATTCCTAGAGTTAAGAACATGCTCAGCATATCTTAAACTGAAAGAACTCAGAAAAAAATTCATGCTTCAAGTTGTAATATTGAATGATTCTATGGGCAAAATATTTAATCATGGAAGAAGTAGCAAGAAAAGAAGGGACCACAATCAGCCAAACTGACCCCCTCCCTAGAAGTATGTGCGACAGAGGACAACACGAATCCTATAGGTTGGGGAGAGGGGCCGCCTGCCACGCCCTCGCTGAAACAAACCCAGAAGGAACAAGATAAAGGGGCAGTCTGGACCCCATATCGGCACACCACGCCTGGAGGACGATGTCCCTGCACGGAGCTGCTAAGGCACAGAGGACTGTAGGCCAACAACAGCTCAAGACATGTTGTCCCCTTACTGGAGCATACTGTCACAGAGGACAATCCTGGGGACACATAGCAGTGAGGTAGGACGGTCTGAACCTCCTGGGGCAAACCAAGAAGGAAACAGAACAGATCAGCAACCAGCGCAAAGCAAAGCCACAAAGCTCCTAAAGAGCCCCCAAATAGACTTTAGGCTAGGAGGGGCAGCTCCCAGAATTGCCCCAGGACCAGTGGGGAGATAGTCATAAAGTTCAGTGGACAGACCTGAAATTATGTATGTTTTTTCTCTTTTTCTTTTCTTTCTTCTTTCAATCATGTTGTTGGTTTGGTCTCTGTCCCTGTTGGTTTCCCGACTCACATAAGACAGGCGTGGGGACAAGCTCGAGGAGAAAGCAATGGGGCTGACGGTCCCAGAGGGACTTGGGGGGAGGAGGCAGGGGAAGGGTCTGGCGGTCCTGAAGGACTTGAGGGGAGGAGGTGGCGGGGTTAAGGGAGTGGTGAGCTAACAACACCATAGACAGGGGAACAACTAGGGAACTAAAATCAACAACAAGGCAGACATAGAGATCCTGGGGATGTTGGAGCAACAGCAATCTAGCTGAGAGGAAGTACTAAGAGGTGGAAATAGGGGGAACGTGATGGTGGGGCATGAGGAAGGTAAAAGGAAACAGAGGAATAATCTAGGAAGCAAAGATATGGAGAGAGGTATAAGCATAGGTTTGTCCATATGTAAATACATTAATCCATAAAAATAGAGGTATTGGCATATGTACATATATTTGTATGGCAATACACTGAGGTAGTGGACAGACTTCAGGCCTCTGCTCATACCCTCCGTCAATACAAGAACACGTTGTTATAACAAATTAGCATTCTGTGATGCTCACCCTGCAGGCACAACCGCTGAAGATAAAATGGGCACATAAGTAAGCGGCCATCTAGCAGATAAGCAACAAACCCACATGGAAGAAGCACACCAGCTGGTGGCATCATAAGGAGTCACTGGGACCGGGGAACAGGCATCAGAAGACCCATAACAAACAAACAAAAACATATTGTTGAGGGGGGGGGGAAGAGCAGAGACCCATAGCCCATCTGTCAATAATGGGACATCCCCTTACAGAGGGGTCACAGGAAAAGGATGAGTCAACCAGGGCACAGTAAAGCACCGAAGAAACACACAATATTCCTCTGGTTCCTTGAGGCTTCCTCATTATACCCCCTCCCCACAACTATCATGACCCCAGTCCTGCCTCTCAGTTTGGACTAGACCAGAGCACATACACAGGTACCGATAAGAGATGAGAGCCCACGACACACCTGGCATCCAGGGACAGGAATGGGGAAAGCAACACCAGAAGGTGTGAGGATGATGCAGGACCCGGCGTGCTTCATTCTGCTGCACGCAGGGCCACGCTGTCGGACTGACTCGAGAGCACCTAACCACCACCACCACCACATTCCCCCTTCTGCACAGAGAGGGCTCCTGGGATGAGGTAGGATAGTGACCACCCCAGCGTCTGAAGAGGAGAAAGTCCAGGTGGGCGAGGAGGGCATGAGTCCTATATGGGAACACAAAGGAGAGGATGTACCTCGACTTAAGGAAGGAGCAAGGCTAACGAAAGCCAGGAGTTAGTCTCACACGACAAACTCACCCCTGCAGGTGTGGTGGAAACAGCATCTCCACCTGGCCAGGAGTTGACACAGCTGTTTTCAGCCCTGGGAGAAATCACTTGAGGAGCTATAAAATCTTACTCCCAAATACCCACTTTCCTTAGGCTGAGGTAGCATGTGGACAGAATATGCATGGTGTGGGGTCAGTGGGTGCATTTTAAGTCTCTAAGGTAACTAAGACTGAAGACAGGTTAGAGAGGTTAGGGACTCCCCAAAATGTACACGTATTATGGCTCTAGGTTCAGTGACGGAAAAATAACCTAAAGCTGAAAGGAAACTCAATGACAAAAGCTATTTAAACACTTACTTAAGACAATGTTTTCAAAAGTTTACTGTTTTAAGTAGCATCACTTTAATTCTACATGAATAATAGCAATTCGAACATTAGACTCCAACAAAAGGCATTTACCCGTCTATTGAGGGCTGTCTTGCTGCCGAGTTTCGTCATGTCCCCGAGGCTATTCTGTGAAACCCTTCTGTCGCCATCTTCCTGTAACCCTGATGGCAGGGATCAAGAAAACAGTTACACAAAGACCCTGTGGCTCACGCTCGGCAGAGAGCAGCAACACAGTGACAGCTTTCAAGATAAAATGAAGGTCGATAAAAAAACAAAACACACACACAACTGCTCATCCCAAACTCCCTAATGAACTTGAGGTTTACCTGTAGCATCTGAACATGGAATATCTCCATTTGTTGTTGAAGATACAAGAAACTTTCTTGCATTGCTTAGCCCACGACTATTAAGGAAAACAGGCAAATGAACAATATTGCGCATGTAGTCGTGTCCGTTTATATTTGAGTCACGAAGCACACTATTGAGGTTCTGGTTAATTGCCTTTATAATAATATGTGGATCACTTGCGAAAATGGCAATGAATGGGCCTTTTGAAAATAAAACTCGGACCTGTGGTAGAAGAAATATAGAGCTGTGATATAACTGTTAAGTCATCAGATGCAATAAAATATCTTTTCAGAATCGGTGCCATCCTTTGGTTACTATATTTCAAACATGCAGTAGTGTTTCTTTTTATCAAAAACACTATTTTACAAAAACTGCATTTTACTGAAGGTTCAATCTGTAATTTTCACCATTGGACAGAGACAAAAGGTGCCCATAAAACCAAGTGAACAATAATTGCACTGTTCCCACTTCGCGACAGTTGCACTCTACAGAACAGGTAAGATGATCGAGATATAGGAGAAACATTCACGCATGCACGTTAAGAGATACTTGGTCCACTTGTCTCTGCCTATAGCTATATTTGGTTAATTGCAGTGTACCTTACAGATACCAAGTCACTCCAGCTTAATCAAACTGCCACAAATTCTTCTCTGACTCTAACTAACAAGTACCTGTTAGGAAAAGCCAGCACCACACCATGGGCTCATGACATGCTTTCTTCATGTTTTTCCCTCATTCTGTCATTAAACTAAAAGTACTGCTTCAGCTGTTTAACCATTTTTGAAAAAACATTTACTATGTTTCTGAATTTTTAAATGGTTACATTTACATGCTAAAAAAGGAAAGAAAAAAAGCACAGGGCAGAAACAGGCAGCAATTTTCAATTCCATGTGATCATTTCATGAAGTCATGCGCCCTCTCAGCTGGCACCCAGGTACAATGTCGAGTTTCAATGAGGTTCAAACGTACAGTGTCCAGCATCTGAAGCACTTTGTCTTGTTCGCAGGCATCTAGCCCATCAATGATCACTACCAGCCTTGTCTGATTCTGAGTGAAGCTGTCGATGGTTTTTGCCATTCTGGCCATCAATTCCACTTCACACTTAAGGACCTGCACCAACGAAAGGTAAAGGGCTAAGGAGATCAAAAAGTAACATCTGTTTTTTAAAGTCATGACTGAAGGTCGTTAATAAAAAGTAATGGCCTGTAACGAACAACAGCTGTTTCACTGTTTACAAACAGACTACACACAGAGAGCAGCGTTTCCTCGCCCAGTGACACCAGAAGGTAACACTGCAACAATGTCAGCAGGGAAAACCGCTGAGTGACTTAGGTGCCAAGATCCCAGAAGCTGAATGCCAAAAGGCTTGGATTTGAATGCAAATTCAAATGCTCTTGACCCGACGCGAGAGTTGGCACCCTGATGGCATCCACACTTGGGCAAAGAAAGAGGAGCTACAGAAGTTTTAGAAAGTCTCCTTTAGGGTGTCAGCCACTCCGGGGTCCGGTGGACTCCTTCTCCTTCCATCCCCTCTCCTCAATGCCCACCACAAGGCAGAGAACCGTGCAAAAGGGTGGAAAGGCGCCATTGTTGACTATTGGAGCTAGACAGGGACTTCAACCTCCCGCTTCCCTTAAAGATGTGAAATCTTTACAATTAGATGAGAGTTGTGGCAGACTCGGTATATTGGTATAGCAATTGGGGGGTGGGGAGGAAAAACAATTGTGTGCATGTGCACCTTGTTGGTGTTGTTAGTGGGCTGTCAAGGCAATTCTGACTCTTGACATCCCAGGTGGGCAGAGTAGAACTGCTACCCAGGGTCTGCAAGGCGGCGCCTGCCTCCCCAAGTTCCATTCCGTCTTCTCGTCATCCATGCAATAGTACTGAGCACCACTTTATGCCAATCACTCCTCTGGGTATTGGAAATTCAGTGATGATGGGGCTGGGGTGGGGAATGGAAATGGCCCCTGCCATAGTAGGAAAGACAGACTGACTGACAATCTACTAACTCCCCACATCTTTCCACCACCTTCTCACACTGCCTTCGACTCTAAACCAGATGCCATGGGTTGATGCCAGCTCCAGGTAAGTCAGAGTCAACCTGCCTCCCACCCCTTTCATTGGGTTCTTAGAGATCTCCAGGCCTTTCTTTTGAAGCACCTCTGGGTGCCCTCAAGCCTTCAGCCTTTCAGTTTGCAGCCGAGCTCATTCATGAGCAGCCGCCAAGGACTACATGCACTGTCACCCACCGGCTGACACCACAGCCCATGGATTGCACAGCCCTGCCACATGAAGAACCCAGAGGCAGGTGTGGGCTGTAGGAGGTTCGGGTACAGGTAACCACTGAACTTGTTACATGCCATCAAATCAATTCCAACGTGGAGGGACCCCTTCAGAGAGGGCAGGGCTGCCCCCCAGGGGTCCCCAGGCTATCATGGTCACGGAAGCAGAATCTGGACCTTTGCTCCCACCGAGCCGCTCACAGATACCAACCACAAAACCCTCTCACCCTGTACTACAAGTGCGCAACGTCTGAGCTGCCTTGCCTGCAAACGCCCACTCTTCATGGGGAGTGGGGATGGGGAAATGGCCCTACGGTGAAAGCCCCATCTCACTCAAGAGCGGCGTGCTCAAGAAAAGGTGTCCTGGTGGCACATGGGTTGCTCACTGAAAGGTTGTTTGACCCCATCAGCTGCTCGAAGGAAAGAGATGAGGCCTTCTGCCCTGTCTATAGTTGCAGCTGCAGAAGCCCAAAGGGGGCGTTCTACCCTGTGCTACCAGGTCTCTGCGAGTTCAATCCACTTGACAGGATTTGACTTATGTACAAGGGAAGGGCCCTGGGAGTTTTATCCTCAAAAAAAGACAGAAAAAGAAAAAAGAAAGTCTCGTTTAGTTCCAAAAGTAAAATTCTATTTTATATGATTTGGTGGTTCAGTTCACTGAGAAAAACCAAAGAGCTCCGCTTTCCCTGCTGGGCTCTAGAGAGAGCCAAACTCTGACCCGCGGGGGTCAGCGTGAGTAGAAAGCTGGGCCTCCGTGCCGGTGGTGCTCGTGCTCAGGCCAATGCTCTCGCCCAGTGACACCCTGTGCAACAGAAGCACACCGGCCAGTCCCGGGCCATCCTCATGAGAACCATTCCGACGTCTGAGCCCATGGCCGCACCCACTGTCTCAACACACCTCCGTGCGGTCTTCCTCTTTCCCACTGGCCAAGCACAGTGTCCTTCTCTAGGGCTCTTCCTGCTGACATCACGTCCATGGGGCATGCCATGAGGTCTCACTACGCTGGCTTCTCCCCTCCAGAGAAAGGCCTGGTGATCTCCTTCTGAGGGGCTAGTCCTGGGCACAGCAGTCTGACCACGCGCTCCTGCTGGACAGATAGGCAGCATCTCTGCCAACTGTGCTCGACGTTCCCACGAATGGAGGGCCACACTGGCAGCAGCGAACAACAGTATGACCTATGGGAAAATCTGCTACCTCAGGACCAATAATGAGACTAAAGATACAACGAGGGGAAGGGGAAGGTGCAGGGAGAAAGGGGGAACCGATCACAATGATCTACATATAACCCCTTGCTAGGGGGTCAGACAACAGAAAAGTGGGTGAAGGGAGACAGCGGTTGGTGTAAGACATGGGGGTGAGGGGATTTATAAATCATCAAGGGTTCCTGAGGGAGGGAGGGGGGAAATGAGGAGCTGATACCAAGGGCTCAAGTAGAAAGAAACGTTTTGAGAATGATGGAAACATATGCACAAATGTGCTGGACACAATGGATGGATGGATGGATGGATGGATGGATGGATGGATGGATGGATGGATGGATGGATGGATGGATGGATGTTGCCAAGAGCTGTAAGAACCCCCAATAAAAAGATAAAGAAAAAGGAAAACCTTATGGATGGTGAAGAAATGTGGTGTTGCCCGGCTACACCAGAAAGAACAGGTCTGAGGTTTGTCTCAAAACAGATGGATGGATGCTGATAAGAGCCCCAATAATACGATTTCTAAAACCCGGCATGTCACTAACTTTCTCATTTTAAGCAAGCACTTCCAAGGAACACTTTAATCATGGCAGTGCTTACCTTCATGAACCCTTCACCTTTCAGTCTGTGCAGCCTGGAGGCGGCGTTATGTAGCCGCTTTCGCTGGGAATTCAGAAGAGAGTCCAGCACTTGCCACCAGGTCCGGCAGTTCAACACAAAGGCCAGTCCAACGACGGATGTGATGGCTATCAGAACAGCATTCACGGTCAGGTGTTTGGCATCAACTCGGAATATGGCCAGAAGCGTAATCCCGGCAATAATGCAGGCAAAGATGAAAAGGAAGATGACAAAGGAAGGGAGGCAACACGTTTTCTTCCACTTCTTTTTACCTGTGGCAAATTAATTTGAACAATGAGATTTAGAGCACATATCTAGGAAATCCTAACCATGGCAGGTTCAGCTACGCTGAATCTGATGGTCAAGGTGCGCTTTCATGAAGATGCACCGGAATGACTGGAATCTGAACACGCATCTACTCTGCAGCCTTACAGAGAAGGGAAGCAGAAGTCCTACCCTGTGAATCTTCAGTCTTGAAGACGCGAAAAAGCCTTGTTGCCAAAAAGCCAAACTCTCGTTCACAGGCATCTGAAAGGGTAGCAATCATCTCAGCCATTGACGTTTCTCCACCTACACTGGACAGCCTATTGTAATCTGTGAACAGAAACCTTGGGGGAAAGACAAAAAAGGCATGACTCAGACAGCTGAATTATCAGAAGCTTTCACATATGGCACGTGTGTCTCACTTTGCACCGTTTTCTTTGCCCTTTTCAAAATGCTGTACACAGGGTTTTCTAAGCACCCAATGAACACTTTGGACACTTGAGAGAAAAGTAATTACAACTTAAAATGTTAAGCCCAACAATGCCATCAAAACCCCAAGTTTTAGAATATCTTACTTTACCTATGTCGAAAACAACTACCGGGGTTTTTAAAAGATAGCTTGAAATATTCTTCCCGTAGTTACTCTTGGAAAGAACCTTGACTCCCTAAGGGGTTATCACTTGGGCTTCAGTGTCTGAGCTAAACTCTCCTCTCAATCTGGCAGATAAGCACGCCTCTCAAAATATCATCTGGGATCAAACTGTTCTATATATATGTTACAATCTTGGCTTACAACATGATAATTGTTCTACTTACTAAAAATATTTCGTTAATTTAGAATGTTTGTTTTTCTTTAAAAATGCTTTCCCCAATTATTCTATTGTTTTATTGTTTTCATTTCAGCCTATTATTTTTCAATCATTTTCTTAATACTCCATCTTATGTGCTAATTACCTTAGTTTTCTCTTCTATTAATGGTTCAATGTTTTATCTGATTTGCTTATTCTCTTTTATTTTCATTTGATTTATCCAAAAGAAGTAAAAAATCCTCAATCTTTTAGTGAATTTTTAGTTGTTTTTCTAACTTCTATTGCATTTTTTATGCATTTAATTTTCTCATTTTATAACTTTTTAAATTATACTTTTCTCTGGATCTTTATTACTTGACCAAAACGTTTTGCTTGTTTTTCTCACATGTATTTCCTATTTGATCTCAATAATAATTTTACATAGGAAAGCAAGCTTCTTTACACACATGAGGAAACAGCTGTTCACAGAAGTGAGCTCAGTTGCCCAGTTACACACTAGATCAGTGGTTCTCAGCCTTCCTCACCCTGCGAACCTCTCACACACCTCATGTGGTGGTGACCCCCGACCATAAAATTATTTTCATTGCTACTTCATCACTGTAATTTTGCTACTGTTATAAATTGTCATCTAAATATCTGATAGACAGGATGTATTTTCATTGTTACAAATGGAACATAATGAAAGCATAGTGATTAATCACAAAGACAATATGTAATTATATATTGTGAAATATTGGTTTCTAATGACAAATAAATAAAGTTTTGTCAGAAACATGTTTTCTGATGATCTTAAGCAACCCTTGTGAAAGGGTCGTTCGACCCGCTGCATTAATGGAAGGTAGTACCCAGACTCCTTGAAGGCGCCTTTAATAAATGCTCTTTTTTTCAAAGCACATTCTAAAACCGAGTGGAGAACATGACGCACCTCACTAAAGAGAAGCACTTCCCGTCGTCACCTGAGGGATGAGCTAATGTTTGGCATATGGTGCAAGAATGATGCTACATGATGCTAATTGGCCATTGGCAGCAAAAAGGTCCCCCAGCTGTGTTGTAAAGGATGGTATCAAGGAAGAATATGCAAAACAAAAAACCCACTGCCATCAAGCAGGTTCCAACTCACAGAGGCCCTGTGGAGCGCTCCTGAGGCTGTAGAGGTGCAGGGAGCAGTCAGCCTCGGCTTCCTCCCTCGAGTGTGAACTCCCATGCCCACTCATGTCCAGCCCAATGCCTAACCCACAGCACCTCGGCCTCCCTAACGAACACACACTGAGGAAAGGTTTACAGTCAAAGTTTGGCTCATCACAGTTAAACAGGTTACTTTAGTAGCATCTCTAGTCCTATAATGTTCATGAGGGAAATAATACATGACGTATTTCTCAAACTGTTTCACCAGGCCTTTATTTTTTTAATCAAATGTTCAAGGTATCATCGGTCTTTTTAGAAAATGTGTGCTGAGAAAGCATGCATTGTAAGCTTTCCTCCGTCTTTCTGATGACTCCTCCTGACAAAGGAGGCAACTCACCTCACAGGTAATGCCTTGGTAGTCTGCTCTGGCAGCTCAGGTGGATTCTCAAACATCAATTTGAGGAGGAGTTCCAAATAGCCAATGTGTCTTGCCAATCTAGTACTGAGGACCCAGGCCCAATTCCAACTCTCTCCTTCTCTTCGTCCACCAAAGTAAATCACAACTGGGATGTAACAAAGAGTTTCTAAATTACTTCATCTCAAGACAGAAACACAATCAGAAAGATAGGATCTTAAACAGAAACTCATCAGGTAAGTCAGAGTCTGATTTATCACTACTTGCAACTGTTGAAGTTATGACTTCCTCCAATAACCCAGATATTAAATCTACGGAATTTCTTGCAAAGGAGAATACCCTAAGAACAGAAATTATGTTATTTTCCACTTTGCTTTTGAATTAAAAAAAAGTCATGATCAAAATGCTTAGTATTTCCTAACTTAAGCTATGGGTGTAATAGTAATGGCTGTGAATAGTAATTTTCAGAAAAGATTTCAATGCAAACGATTAGTTAAAAAATGAAGAGATGTGTATTAAAAATTAAAGATGTCTGCTTAAATGCACATAGCCAGTATACTCGTGGACAATGTACCTTTAGGCCAATTTAAAATATACTAAATAAGATCAACTTTTCTACCCACTTATACAAAATCTCCAATTTTAAGAGACAAATATAGGTAGTATTTTAAGTGAAACAATGAGATTTGACATTTTTGAAAAAGATAAAAAAGCAAAAACTTACGAAAGAATATATATAAAGCAGCCAAGAGGCTCAATGACACTGCTATTCCAAGATTCGGGTCCACAGTGAAAGCGAACAGTAAGCCGCACCCTCCACAAAGTAAAAGCGTGAGAAACACGATCAGCCACGAGAACTGAAAGAGAGGCTCAATCTGCTGTCCCGCAAACGTCTTCATTTCATCTGAAAGAGAGGTTGGTAATCAGAGGCGTGAAAATCATATCTGCACTGTGACAAAGACAACTGTCAACTCCATGAAACGCTGTTCCATGTGCACACTGGACAGGTGTGGGCACTTCACGGAGCCCCGAGACGTGGTGCCCTTCATCATCGTGAGCCCAGAGGCCCATCTGCCCTCGCGGGACGCACTCTGCTCTTCCACATTCAAAACACACACGCGCACGCACGCACGCACGCACGCCTTTTCCACTGGTCAAGGTTTTGTCAGAATGGATCTTTTGTACCAGAAAGCAGCAGTGTACTTTCTCACGTTCAAATATACAAAGAATCACTTCACTGGTGTGTCTTCAAATGACACAGAACCACCATTCCTCTTTGTACTTCTCGTCACCTCTCCCCCAGCCCACCTTGTTACATTTGCGCATACTGTTCTTTAAGGTTTATGTTGAGCCCCCAAGGAGTCATTCCTTTAAACACACACATACACAAATGTGGGAAATTATGGACAGGCAATTCTAAAACCTGTCCTTGAGGAATGGGTCAGTTTGCTAAGGGACAGCTGCATGCATTAGAGGGGAGAGATTAGTGGAGAGGACAACTCAAGAAAAGCAGTCTGTTCTGGACCAAGAACTCGCCCTGTGCTGCCGTGCAGACAAGAGACGGGCTTGGAAGACGAGACCACACAAATCAATGAGTCTGTGGGAGACCTGCACATCATGGTTATAAGCAGCACGTAAAGAAAAGCTGCTATTAAAGTGTTTTTAAAAGAGAAAGTGTCCTAAATGGACCCGCTTTAGAAAGAGAACTCAAATGACGACGTGGAAGATTAGAGGGGACCAACACCCTAAGAAATTCATTTCGTGAACTAACATGCACAAACACATACATTAAGGTGACCAGATTTAAAGCGGGACACCACTGACCCGGAAGGGGGGGGGGTCTTGATTAAAAATTTGGTCTATATGGACCAAATAGACCGTTCCCTAGCTTGGTGTGCATTCTTTCCAAAATCCGGGACTTTTTAAAACGCCAAAAATCGGGACTGTCCGCCAAAAGCGGGACGCCTGGTCACCTTAACATACATAAACTGTTTCTCATTATTTCTTTTAAAAAGATAAGAGAGAAAACCTTGACATGCCCCCATACAGAGACTTTCTACAAACATACACTGTACCTTCCAGTTTCTTGAGTAAGAAGGACTTGCCACTTCCCCACTGAGCATATAAACCCACACATATGGGGGGCTGCATGGTGGGCTCACTGAGAATATCTGCCAGCGCACTGCTGTACAGGTCATAGCCGAGCATGTCGCCATCTGTCTCCGTCGGGGACAAGTGTCCTGCAAGCACAAAACACCATGCATCCATTCACAAGTGCCATCCTTCTAGAAAGGCTTGTCAATACTCACTTATCAATATTTACTTGGAGAAAAAAATTTCTATTTTAAAATATCCAGAATATTCAGAGGGGAAACATACTTTTAAAATCTTTGCGTGCAATGTCTTTTTTCCATAAGAATGCTAAAACCCGAACTACAGGGAAAGACAAAATAAGCTACAGAAAGGTATCATTTTAGGATGAGGAATTAAAAGCCATCATAAACAAAGAATAAGTTTGGGAAAGGGAGGGGGTGCGACACATTGGCTGGGCCCGTGATTAATATCTGTAACATATAAAAATGCCTAAGGTGTATTTTTTTTTTTGAAAATTTAAGTTTTATTGTTAACATTTTTTTCTTGATATCATCAGTTGGATTTACTTTCTCTTTAGATAGAGCCTTTTATCTGAGCAACTTTTTTCTTTCCTTTCAAAAATCATTTTATTGGGGCTCGTGCAACTCTTATCACAATCCATACATACATCCACTGTGTCAAGCACATTTATACATTTGTTGCCATCATCCTTCTCAAAACATTGTCTTTCTACTTGAGTCCTTGGTATCAGCTCCTCATTTTTTCCCCTCCCTCACAAGCCCTTGATAATTTAAAAATTATTATTATTTTGTCATGTCTTACACTGTCCG